GGCGATGTAGTGCTGGAGCGAGTGCGAGACGCTGTGGAAAGACACGGTAGTGTGAAAGTGAACACAGTGTTTAACGGTGAGTTCGCGACAAAAGACAAACGTGACAATAAAAGTATAAACACGAAGAACAGCGAGATATATCGATGCACCGATATGCGCGAGTGGTACGAACGGTACGTCGTCGAGTCTATTTTGACATCGCTCGAAGAGTTTCAAGAATGCGACAGCGGGTGGGCGCTGTCTCGAATTCTCAACTTAACTGTTAATGTAAACAAATTGAATCCCATGCACGCGGGATGTCACTTCGAGGTGCCGCGAGACATAGCGATGAAACGAGCGGTGGTCGGTGTGAAATCCATGGATAATGCGTGCTTCGCGTGGTCGGTGGTAGCCGCTCTGTACCCAGCTGAAAGAAATGCAGATAGAAAATCGTCGTACCCGCATTACACTACAGTGTTAAATCTCGCGGGTATCGAGTTTCCAATGACTCTAAAAGACGTTCTGAAATTTGAACGCTTAAACGCGGTGTCGATCAACGTGTACGGCATCGAGAATAAGCAGATCCTTCCTCTACGACTCACAGGCGACAAGAAGGAGAAGCACGTGAACGTGCTGTATCTACAAGATCCACGCAAGGATGGTGTAGGCCACTTTGCATGGATAAAGGATCTATCTCGCCTCGTGAGATCGCAACTAACTGAAAATAAGAACAAGATATTCTTCTGTGATCGGTAAGTATAATAAGAAAAGTAAATATATAATAAGGAAAAATATATATTATATATATATATATATATAAACACTATGTGAAAATAAAAAATAAAATTATTTGTATATTTACAGATGCCTGCACTATTTTGGCTCGAGTGTACAGTTGGAGATCCACAGCGAGGACTGTCAAAATTTGAACGACTGCGCCATTCGCCTGCCGAGCGGGGACGACAGATGGCTCGAATTCGACAACCACAACAACATGGAGCGTGTACCATTCGTCGTGTACGTCGACCTGGAGTGCGTCCTGCGGAAGACGGAGCCCAACAAAGAAGATGCGTCGTCGTACGAGTAGCAGCGGCATGAAGTATTCAGCATTGGATACTACGTGCGATGCTCGTACGACAATTCGTTATCATCATATCACTTCCAACGCGATGAAAATTGTATATCATGGTTCGCGGAAGAATAAAAAAATTTAGCACATCGCGTAAAAGATATTATATCCGCTAACGTGCCCATGGAAGCGTTATCAAAGCAGCAATGGGAGGCGTACCGCACCGCGACGCGTTGTCATATTTGCGAGAAGCCGTTCGCGTCGAACGATACGCGGG